CATTTAAAAATTATTTAAACCTGGCAAAATTTCTTTAATAAAAATTAAGTATTTATTGGCAAAAACTATATAATAACGTCTTATTATAACTAAATCTTTACAGTGATGCAAATATACTAATATATTTTTTTTATTAAATAGAAAAAATCAACAAAAGAGAAAGGAGATGATTATCAAGCAGATCTTGTAATTGAATTAGTTAAAAATGGTATTGAAGCTAATTTAACTAAAACATATATTAAAAAGGATAATCAATTCATACCAATTGGAGATGGAGGTATTGATATATTTGGAAAATTTGAAATAATGAATTATATAATGCAAGCAAAATATAGGACTAAGATTGATGATAATGAAGTATATGTTAGTCCTAAAGATATTAGAGAATTTGCTGCAATTTTGATAGAACAACCTGATAGTACTATTGGATTTTTTATATCGAATGCTACATTTTTAGCTAGATCTAAAAATTATGCAGCAAATTCAAAACTAAATTTGATACTATGTAATGAAGAAAATATTGTTGAAAGAATCAAAGAAACTCAATTAAAACTTGAAAAAAATTCAAAAGAAGAAATTGTTATTAAGGATATAACCACTGATGAGAAGACAAATACTGATATATTTGGTATTAAGATCAATGGTTGTATCAGAATTAGTCGAATATATTCTAAAAATAATAGGAAAAAAAACAAACTATATTGACTATATTTTATTTTAAATATATATAATCTATCTAGTGAATTTATTACCAGGTAGAGTTTTTTAAACGTAATCTTAAGATGTCTAATGAAGAATTTTGTAAAACAAAAAAAAGAAAATATAATGAAATTGAAAATATAGAAGATGAAGCAGAAAATATTATTCTTCAAGAAGAACTTGAAAATAATTATCATAAAATTGAACGAGAATTAACTAGTAAAAAATGTTTTATAGATTTAGTAGAAGAAAAAGCAAGAAACAAATTGAGACAAAAGTATCCTGATATTTTATTTGAAAATAACAGGATTAGTATTAAAAAAAGAAAAAAGTCTAATGTAAAAAAAATAGTTCTTACTGGAACTATTGGAGCAAGAAAAACAATTTTTTTTTCGTTTATATCAAAATATTTTGAGAAAAAAGGATTGAAAGTATTTATTCCAGAAGAGATTTCTCTTAAAATCAAAGATGATTTAGATCTTTTCTATAAAGATAAAGAGAAATATGCATTCTTTTTTCAAGATTTGATTATTGATACATACAAAAAGATGATAGAAAGTATTGACTCTGCAACTGATGATTATGATATAATTATTTTTGATCGAACTTATTTTGATACAGAAGTTTTTAATAATATTAATTTTGATGATGATCTAAAATCATTTTACTTAAAAACAAAATATAAAATAATTAATTCATGTAATTTTAATTATGTGTTTTACATAAAAAGTTCTGAAAATACTTCAATTAAAAGATAGAAGGAAAGAAATAGAGAAGGAGAAACATATACAGAAGAGTATATGCAAAAAGTTTATAGAGAATATGAAACAATTATCAGTAAAATGTATTCAAAATATATTGTATTTAATACAAAGGAAGATATATATCTGAAAGATAAAGATGAATATGTATTAGATGAAGATGGTAAAAAGAAAATTAACAAACAAGTTCTCAATAATTATTATCAAATATTTGATAGAGTAATAGTTTAAACTATACTTACTAGCACTTTTTAAAATATAAATTATATTTTATTTAAATTTTATAAATATTTATCTACTTAGTACAATTGTATCAAGTAGAATTTTATATTCGTAAATGTCTTTAATAAAAAATACTCAAATAAAAAATTATTCTAATATTTTTAAAAAACCAAATATTGGTAAACGTTCTGATCTGTTTAATGAAAAACCAATAGTAGATTATTTTTCATATATAATGCTACTGATTCTAAAGATAAAAATAATGATATATAATAAAATTACATGCAGTTCGAACTGATGGAAAAAAGATCAGTATTGATTTGATAATTGGTGATATTTTTTTTGATATTAGATTAAATGATGAAGAATTGATTGATGAATATGTTGATGAGTTTAAAACAGATAGTTATAATATTTTTGAAAAGCAACCATTTGATTTAACAGAGAGACATAAATTTATACGATTATATTTTAAAGACTATACTTTCTGTAAAAAAGCACTTGAAAAAATAAAAAAAATTGAAGATGATCTAAGTGAAGAATTTGAAGAAGTAAAAAAATTATTAAAAGATAAAAAGGATATATGTGAACGAATAGAAGAATTTTGGAAATGCTATGATACTTATTCTAATGATCCTTCATATTATTATAGAAAAATAGTATGTGAGAATGATTTTAAGATAGTAGGATGGCATAGATTATTAAATCCAGATATTATACTTACTGAATTTATCAGTATAAAGCTATTAGATATTGAAAAGATAGATTACAATAAACAACCAAAACTTCTTATATTATCATAGTATATTGAAACTAGTAGTACACGAGGACTAGATTATTTTTCTGTAGGTGAACAGAAAGAAGATTATGTATATATAATACAAGTTGATCTTTATTGGTTATCTGTAAAAGAACCTATTAAACATTATTGTTTAACTTCGATATATATTGATAAAGAATTATTTGAAAGAATATATCAAATACCAATAAATAATTTTGAGTTTATATACTGTAAAATACAAGAAGAAATAATATTAAAATTTGCAGAAATAGTAGGAAATTACAGACCAGATATTAATTGTAGATACAACATCTTTGGATATAATTAGAATTTTATATTAAAGAAAGTAAAAATATACAAGTTAGAAGATGAATTTACACAAAGATTATTAGGTAATGTTGTATCTATTAATTATAATATTAAAAAAACAAAAATCAAAGTATTTGAGAAAAATGTTGAAGAGAAGATAGCTAAATATTCATATGCTAGTCTAAATATAAATAATCGAAATATAAAATTTAATTCAAATGAAACAATGAACTATAAATATTATTATATATCAGAAACTATAAATATAGATTTGTTAGTATGAGCAAAAAAAATATTTCTAACTAAGATAACGAATACTTTAAATGCAGTTCTTGTGAGATGTAGTCTTAAAGGGAAAATAGATTTACCATATATTCTAGATGAAACATCTTTTAAAGAATATGATAATTTATATTGTATGTTTATATATGTGAATACAGTAAAATTCAAAAATCATTTTGAAATATTAAAGCATTTAGCAGAACAATTATCAAAACTCTGCAAATTCATTAGTTATGATAGATATTTATCAAAATTTCTTGTAGATGATAAGACACTTGAGAGATATACTATTGATATTGCATATTATTGTTCAGTTGATTTGATAAGTTGTCAAGAATTGATGATAAAGAGAGATGTAATAGGAAACTACATACAATTTGCAAAATTAATATGTGTAACTATTTCTAATATATTTATGAATGGTGTTGGATGTATAGTATGTAATTTTTATGGAAGATATGTATTAAAACATGATATATTAATTTCAATAAAATGAAAAGGTATTATAGAGATTAGTAGTAAATATGAAGGAGGATTAGTATTAGAACCAGAGAAATTTGATATTACAGATCTTGATAAATATCTGAACAAATATTCAGAACTATTGAAGATACCAATTAAAGATTTAATTAATTATCTCAATACATTAGGTATTCAGTTGCCAGTTGCAGATTTAGATTTTATATTGATGTATCCTAGTGCTATAATTACACAAAATATATCTAAAGATACAAATGTTGATATCAATATACAAGATGAAGATATGAATACCATAACAGATAGAAGTGTTATTTATGGAAAATTTAAGAAATATTATAATGATCCAAAAAAAAATGGAATTGATGCCAATGATATATAGAGAATTATTATCTAAAAGAGGTGATATAAAAAAGAATATAAAAATAAATTAGTTGAACAAAACATTATGAAAACATTTTGAATCATTATCTAATGCATTAAAAGTACTTGCAAACTCTATATATGATGAAAATGGTTATGTATTTTTACCTCTTTATAAAAAAGAAATTTTATCATCTATAACAGCATTTGCACATTATTGTCTTAGATTAGTAATTGAATATGCTAAAAGTCTTGAATATATAATAATTTATAGAGATACAGATTCATTCTTCTTCATAATTCCTGTAAAAGAATTTATATATTTATTCAACAAATATTATATTAAGAGAAAGATATCACCTCTTATACTTTCAAAGATAAAACAATTATTTCTGTATGAAATGATAAAAAAGACATTTGAGTTATCAAAAGACTTAGAATATAAAGTTAATAAATTCCTTAAACAAAATATTAGTAGTTTATACATGAAGATAGCTTATGAGAAAACTGTAATGCCATCAAGATTTTTTCAAAAGAAACAATATTGTGGTATTGTTCATGAGAATAGTGTTGAATTTAATTCACCAAGTTTATTCAAAAAAGAGTTAAAGGTTGTGAAAAGAAATGCATCAAAATTTTACAAGTTAGTTGCTAAAGAAATATTATGGATGACATTAGGATTTGATGAGAATCAATTATTGATAAATAAAAATATAAATTCAATACAAGTTGTTTATAAAACAATAAAAAAATATCTAAAGAAAAATTTTGAGAATGATCTTGAGGTATTCAAGCTCATAGCAAAATATAACCTTAATTATAGTAGGATGACTGTTAGAGAATTTGAAAAATAGAAACATATCAAAATGAAAAAAGGAAATACATGATAATAAATTTCGCAACACATATAAAAGATATATTTAATATAACAATCGAACCAGAACAATTTTTTTACTTTGTTATTATATTTGATAGTAAAAGTATATCAGAAAAAATGTGATTATGTTCATTATTCAAGAAAAAAGAGAAAACTTTAGAAAAACAAACAGAATTAAAACAGAAAAATAAAGAAAAATAGCAGAAAGAAAAATTTCAAGAAATAGATATACTTCATTATTTTAAGAGTTTAAAAGATATATGCTCTAATATACTTTGTTGTAATGTGAAAGAAGCTAAAGAAATAATCGAAAAGATAACTCGAGAAGAAAATCAAAAACTTATTACTAAGTACTTTGAAGATCATTCTATTAAGGTACCAGAAATAAAGATAGAAACAAAAAAAAAAAAAAAGAATATTAATATCCTTGTTCCTAAAAGGATGTGTATAGAAATATTTTTTGAAAATTATTGTAAAAGAAAATTAAAAAATTCTGAAGAAAATACAGAATTAGAAAATAATAATCCAGAATCATTAAAAAAAATCAAAATGTAAATAAAAAAATTCTAACATTTCATTTTTTTTTTTGAACTGTTAGAAAATTTAATTATATAAAAATAGAATCAATTTCACTTTTAAATATTTTACTAATTGAAATATTAGTTAGAATATTCAAATACTTCTCTTTTAAAGATGAGATAAAAATATATGTTGTCTCAAAAAAATTTCTCAAAATATTTAAATTTATATATAACAAAAATGTTCATCATATTTATTTTTCTGATACAAATATAAAAGAAATAGATCTAGATATACATGTAATGTATTATAATCGACATATTCGATATGGAAAAGGTTTTGTGATTAATAAATTTTATATCAAATCTATTTTAAAAGTCAATAAAGATTATATCTGGTTTGATTCTAAAACAAAATGAAAGATTAAAAGAGATTATAAAAATTTGTTATATTGTAATACTATTGGTAAGATTGATTATGGACTTGGATATTACTTTTTATATCCTTATGACAAATGATATGTGATTGATATCAAGAGAAGAATCTGTAATGGATATAAGAAATTTACAAATCTTCAACAAACTACTGTTAAAATTATATATATATGTTTGAAACATGTAAAATCTATAATATCATATCAGATATATTGAAGAATAGAGAGATAAAAAAATGTTGTTCAGAACATTATATGTTACTTGATAAATACAAGTATATATATTGTAAAATATTAGATACTTTTCATATTCACAATTTATGTCATAATTGTTTTTCAGAAGCAAAGCAGAAATCAGACGAAGATTTTTGTTTAGAAATTATTAAGGATTTAAATGAAAATTAAAGTTAAAAATATTAAGGTCTAGTGATTTTAGTGTAGTAGTTAGGTTGTCGAACCACCATGTAAGAGGTCTGGGGTCAAATCCTACTGTTGACGAATTTGAATAATTACCTAAACTTTTGTATCCAACTTATGGTAAACTCTGTTCATTTCTGGGGTTGTAACCCTGTAAATCACATTGCACCAAAATCAATTAGATATTAAAAGTGTGATGCAATATTCGAGTTATATTGCATGAATAAATCTTGATAGAATCTATGAGCCAGAGACCTGTATAGTAGAAATCCTGAATTAGGTGAAGTAGTATGGATTTTGATAGTCACACTAATTAACGCTTGATCCAAAAAAGAAGTCTGTGTATAAAGGTTGCAGATTAAGCAGGTGCAAGTAAGTCTGCTATATAATGCAGTCTGGTGCCTTACATTAGTGGCAACACCAACCTGACTTGGTGGCTAACTAGATTTGAGAGGATCTGACTTGTGAAACTTCTGAATATATGGAGGATTAGTTTGGTGGAGAGCTATAGTAGGAACTAGGTTTGTACGAATACCTATAAGGGTATATGCTAGCTTAATTAGGATATAGCATAGCATAGTTAAAATATTCTGCAGGTCCCTCTTAACGAGGATAAAAGAGTACCTTGAGATAGAGCCCTCCTAATAAAGGAAACTGAGACGCAAGGTTAGTCTGAGTGGTCCTCATTGAGGTAGCACAAAATTGTATAGGTTTAAGAATAAAATTAGGTAAACATTAGGGATGACGGGGATACTAGAGGGTTTAAATAGAATATCTACAAATGGATACTAGGTATGGCAATTAGTAGATAACCTTCAGGCAGAACCTTTAAATAGATAATGATTAAAGTTGTATGTATGACTAATTGTACTCTCACTAACTAATGTAAACCTACAAACTACTTAATAAAAATTAACCAGCATCGAGACCTTGTTAGACTAATAAAAAAAAAAAAAAAAAAAAAAAAAAGTTGAAAATATTAATATATTTCTGAAATATATATATATACCTGTTTAGTGAAATAATCACCAAACAGAAAGTTAATCATGTAAAATGTCTTCAAATGAATTTGAGTTAGATAATTCAAGTTCTTCAAATAATTCAGAACCTAAGACTGAATTATATGATCAACTTCAAGATAATTTTTACTATGGAGATAATGATGATAAAACAATAATATCTATTGTTTTTAAATATATAAAATTAAAAATAGATAATAATATTAAACTAACATTTGATAAACAATATTTATTAGTATATCATGAATTAAAAAATCAATTTGAAACAGAAGTAAATAATGAAATATATCATCATATGGGTATTAATAATCTAGATATAGTTAATTTAGAAGAGTTTGACAATGTAAAGGAAGAAGTTGAAAATACTATTACAAGTTCTGCATATATTATTTCCTCTTTTACTTCTAATAAAGAGTTAAAAAAATATAAAAAATCAGATAATTTTAAATATATTATTAATTGTGAAGCTATGCAACAGTATCGTGATTGGATAAAACTATAATTATTATATTATTTTTAATAAATATTTTTAATTGTTTAGTGAGCAATATTTATTTTGATGTTTGGTATTAGATTTTCTTTTATCTAACTTTTAATAAACAAGCAAAATTAAGAAGAACATATAGATTATTTAATGATATATATTCATCTTATGATATAAACAAAGTAAAACATGGATTTTATGAGTTTGTAAATAAGTAAAAAGTGTTAATTTACAGATTCAAACTCACTAAAGATAAAAAATATATATAGATTAAAAATAGAGACAAGATGGTTAAAAGAAAATTATTTCGAAACAAAGAAGTAAATTATTGCTGTGAAGGTGTTAATCAAAGTTCAATTTTGAATATATATGATCTTGATAAAGTGGAAGAGTTACATATAAAACACTGTGATTTTTGTGCTGATTTTAATTATTGTTATCATATATCTCAATCATTACATGGACATAGTTTTTATTTTCATTGTGATATATGTGAAAAGATAGAAATTCATATTCATAACATATATAAAAAATGCTTTGAATCAAGTTATTCACAAATTCTTAGATTTGTAAAAGAAACAATTGTTGTTAAATAACTAGATTTTTATTTACAAAAAATGATTTTAATATTTTTTTTACTTTTTTTTAAAAGAAAATCTTCTAAATATAAATAAATTATTTCAATTAAAGAAAATATTATTCTAATAAATGATATTGAAGTACATATAAATTCATTATCTTGTATATAAAATGATAAAGTTACTAAAATAAAAATCTAATTCATATATTTTTTAAAATTATATTCTGATATTTTTTTATATTGTTTGATCATATCAATAGATATTTCTTTAATAGTTTCTTTAAGAAGTTTATTTTTATATTCTAAGATTTCATTATCAAGAATTAAATTTGTATTTTGGTTTATGTAATATCTTGTTGCAGAATATATTTTTTCCATCTTTAAAAATTTAAATATTTTTCATAAGTTATATTTATAATTATTTTTTAATATAAATAACTTTGATTTTATCCTTTGTTTGAAATAAAATGAAATTTCTAAATTATATATTATTTGAAAATAATATGATTAGTATTAGAGAATATGTTGAGATTGATAAATTTTATAATAAAAATCAAGAATCACAGCAAATAATAAATTATATAAAATCTAATAATAATTTCAAAATAGATGAGTTTGAAAATATTTTACTATGATAGACAAATGGAAATCATGTAAAAGTTCTATAAATAATAACAATAATTATATTTACAAGTTACAAATTGACAATAATATTGACAAAACATATAACAAAAACAAATTCTAAAATAATATTCATTAAAGAGCATATATTTTATTAATTTATTATTTATAATCTAAAAATTTATAGTTTAAAAAATTATTTAAAGACTTAATATTTTCTTTCTTTTTTTTTTAAAAAAAAAAATCAAAACTGAAATTTCTCAAAAAGGTTTGAGAGCTTCTAACTGTATATTGTTTGATCATTTGTTTTTCTTACTTTGTACTAACTCTTACTTTTCACTAACTCGATACTTCACTTTTATGTGATGTGATTATCCTGGTATTCATAATTGTAATTCATTTAATTGAATTATTTATATTATAATTCCAGATGCCTAAAATATTAAATAAATATTATGCTGTTCAAGTTGAATACAAAAAAGGAATTTATAAAAATTGGAAAGATTGTAAAAAACAAATTCATAAATATCCTGATGCTTTGTATAAAAAATTTAATACAAAGAAACAAGCTAAAGAATATATTAATGAACAAAATCAAGAAAAAAATGAAAACTTTGAACAAATTTGGACAGATGGATGTTGTGAAAATAATGGAAAAATAGATGCATATGCTGGAATTGGAGTTTTTTTTAAAGATAATGATCTTAGAAATTTATCAGAGAAATTACCTGGTACAAAACAAACAAATAATAGAACAAAGATTTTTGCAGTTATTAGAGCAATTAAAATTTTTAAAAATAATCAAGATATAATTATCAATACAGATAGTATCTATGTAATTAATAGTTATTCCTTAAATTGTAACACAGGCAAATTTGCCTGTGTTCACTTTTAATTTTTGTAATTTTTAAAATAAAACTTTAAATATTAATTTT